GCAGAGGCTGAGGCAGGGGCAGAAGCAGAGGCTGAGGCAGAAGCAGAGGCTGAGGCAGGGGCAGAAGCAGAGGCTGAGGCAGGAGCAGGGGCAGAAGCTGAGGCAGGAGCAGAAGCAGAGGCTGGGGCAGGGGCTGAGGCTGAGGCTGAGGAAGAGGCAGAGATAGGAGCAGCAGCACACGTAGAGGCAGAGGAAGAGCCAGATTGGATAGAAGCAGTTGAAGCCAGAGTAGCAAATGGGATAGAATTCCAAATCGAGGCTGGAGCAGCAGGTGAGGCAGCAGCTATAGGTGAGGGCGAGGTATTTGGAGCAGGTGAGGCAGCTGGAGCAGGTGAGGCAGGAGCGGCCGGTGATGCAGGCTATGAGGATATTGGGGCCCGGGGCGAGGCAGCAGCCCGTGGAGAAAGAAGAGGCCCCGAAGAATGGGCCCAGCAGTGGAGGAGCTCCCTGCAGCCCATGATGGACAGCCTGGGCTACCCGAAACTGAGACCCTTTTCAGGCGAGGAAACAGCAGGCCCCGGGGAGGAGCCCTTCGAAGCCTGGGTGGAACATGCCTACAACATTATGCACCAGTGGCACCAATTGTCAGACAGTGAGAAGAAGCGGCGCCTGGTGGATTGCCTGAGCGGCCCAGCCCTGGATGTCCTATGCACCCTCCTGGCCGAAGACCCCAATCTCTCCATGCAGGACTGCCTGGTGGCCATGGTGCAGGTGTTTGGCACTCAGGACTCATGCATGGCCTCGCGGATCAAGTTTCTCACCTGCACCCAGCAACCCGGGGAGACCCTGTTTGAGTACCTGATGCGTCTGGAAGGGCTGCTGCAGACCGCCATGGAGAAAGGGGCAGTTCACCCATCTGTCGCTGACCAGGTGCGCATGCGGCAGGTACTGACGCGAGGTCACCCTAACGTCTTGTTGTACAACAAGCTGAGGCGCATACGTGTCCAAGGCCGGGCCCCTGATTTTGTGGAGCTGCTGCAGCTGATCCAGGAGTCGGAGGAGTCGGAGGAGATGGAGGAGATGATGGAGGAGGTCGAGCCTCCCCAGGAAAGAAGGCTGGTGCTCCAGCTGCAGCAAGGGCCCTATGAAGCGGCAGCAGCCTCTGCCACAGCCCAGTTCACATCCCCGGCTGGATACTCTGAACAGGTCAGTCCACCCGACCTCAGTGCTGACCTAGATGATGGAGATTCCAACCCAGACGACGAAGGTGCCGGCTCAGATGACGAAGGGGCTGCCGAGGCCAACCTGGGCGCTGCAGGTGCTGACCCAGACGACGAAGGTGGTGCCGAGGCTAACCTAGATGCTGCAGGAGCCGACCCAGATGACAAAGGGGCGAACCCCGACGACGAAGATGCTGGCTCAGATGACGAAGGGGCTGCCAAGGCCAACCTGGGCACTGCAGGTGCTGACCCAGACGAGGAAGGGGCCGACTCAGATGACGAAGGATCCACTGAGGCCAGCCTGGGTGTTGCAGGTGCCGACCCAGACGACGAAGATGCCGACTCAGAGGATGAAGGGGCCGCCCAGGCCCACCCAACTGCTGGAGAGTCCAACATGGCCATCGACATGCCTGGATCGCCCACTGTGGCTGGCCCAGAAGCCGATGCTGCTGCAAAGGGTGCCCCTGCCCCTTAGGAAGGTGGGCACGCCTCCACCCCAGCTCACGTGGGCAGTGCTCCTGCGGCAGAGAGTGCAGGCACTGGATCTCAGTGCCTTGGCCAGTGAGGGGTGACGCCCACCTCAGGACGGCAGGAAGAAGGAAGGTCTAGGGGTGGGGCTGGCTGCCGGAAGCTCCACTCCAGTTGTTCGTGACTCAGTTTCCTCAATCTGATGCCGTTTTCTTTGCTTTCTTTCAGTATTGCCCTTTGCCTGTCCTGGGGGAGAGGGACGGCGGGGTGGGGGGGCTTAAGGCAGGATCCCACCTTAGCCGATCGAGTTGGGAAGGGACCTCCAGAAGTATTGGACGTTGCCAGAGTTCATTGTCCTGACAGGAGGCAGCCTGTGGGCTGCTGAGGGTCCTCGCTGGGGACCCCAGGGGGAGGGGGGGGTGTCCCTGGTGGTGGTTACTTGTCCCCTCTGTTATGATCCTTCCCTTCAATGATTCTAGTTCATGTTTATCTTTAATAAATCTGCTTGAGTGTTACTACTGAGTCTCACTTTTTAGGGGGTGGAGGGGTGGGCAGTAGCTAGTATGGGGCTCTAGGCTATATGGTAGGGCTGGGGCATGGAATGTGAGTTCCCTTAGACTGGGAGGATAGAGGGAGGTGGGTGTGACCTGGGATGGGTTATGTCCCCAGGAGGGTGGAGGAGCCCTCCCCAGGGAGGAGAGACTGAAGGGAGGGTGAAAGACAACAGACTAGAGGTTGTTTTGTTTTTTTAATTGAGTCTGAACTTCAAAAACTCCATGCATCAACCGCTCTGACAGGTTGGTGACAGCAAGCCCATTCTTCCAGATGCTTAGCCGCGCCTCCTCTGCCAACTTCCACCGGACCATCAACTCTGGCAGCTGAGGCAAGCATTTAGACCATTGTGCTATCTTCTTAATGCCCTTCTACCTGAAACCCCAGCCCCATGTTGAGTCACACTGGGTGAGCACTCGGCTGTCTACGGGCATGGGGGCTCTGAGGAAGTGCAGGCTCACCTGCCTTGAAGACCACGTGCAGCTGAATGTGCGCCGGCGCACTCGTACCTGTCTTGAACAGGTACTCCGTGTGTGCGTCTGCATGCACAGGCCTGTGTGGTGTGTATGTACAAGTCTGTGACTGGGGACCCAGGGCCGTTGTGTGCACCTGCACATGCCACCATTTGCTTAGCCAGGGGCTCCGCGCACTGCCCGCGCTCCGAAAGGCAAAGGCTATTCTAGCGAAATGGCTGTCCTGGGCGAGCTCCTCCCCGGAGGCTCACCACCCTCGTCTGTATGTCCATGCTGGCTGTCAGAAGGTGCGCCAGGATCATAAACAGGCTTGGGAGAGTCCAAGCCTCTGCCTCTAGGCCCCTGGCCGGCCCTGCCTCTGATGTTTGTCCTGGGGGTCCTGGCAGGTCCATGGGCTATGTGTGCACTGTTCTTGGACCAAGTCTCTTCTGAGACTGGTCTGATCTGTCTGGAGATGGAAGGAGCTGAGCGAGGTGGGGATGGTGGGAGTCTGGACAGCTAGCCCCTGCAGAGTGGGCAGCTTTGCCTGACTGGCCCAGACAGCATGGAAACCCTCCTGTTCCCACGTGGACATGAGTACAGGAGCGTGGAGCTACTTGCCTGGTCATAGCTCTGCTCCCTTGCACTACAGGACATGATTGCCAATTCAAGGATTCTACTGCCTTCAGGGCTTCGAGGTGCCTGACGGGAGTGCTGCTCAGACAGGAGACCCAAAGCCAGGGAAGCTTAGAGGGGGGCCCGGGACTGTGAGTGAATCTCATGTGTCTCTTTGTGGTGCCTTAAGTTGCCCAAAATGACAACCTGTTCCAGCATTCCCCCTAGAATCACAGTTCAGTGGGTGCCCTGGGTGACAGCACAGGGGTGATTCTCCTGGGGGGTTTCTCTCCCACTGTGTCTGCAGGCCCAGCTCCCACCTGCCAGCCTAGATTGGCACTCCTTCGGGCGAGCCTCTCTGCTTTCGGCCTGGCTGCCTCACCAGAGGCTCCTTGCCCTGAGCAGTTCCGGGTGGTGCAGACCAGAGTGCAGGCCCACACACACTCCTCATTCCCAGGCAGGCCAGACCTCCACAGCTCAACTTCCCAAAGCATGCCCAGTCCGAAGGTCTTCTCTGGACACGTCTGCTCCATTCCATCAGTAAATGACTTCTGAAAGGCATGAGGTTTAGGGCAAACCTGACCCTCCCCGCCACCCCCTGCCAATCCAAACTGCAGTCACCAGGACACAATCGACATGGAAGTAAGCAGTGCCCCAGTTATGGGATGGAGTCCCTGGGTGGTACCAAGATTAGGGGCTTGACTGCTAACCCAAAGGATGGAGGTATGAGTCCACTGAGAGCAGCTGCCAAAGAAATGCCTGCCGTTGACAATTCTATGGAACAGTTTTCCTCATGAAACATAGGGAGTCACCGCGAGTCAGCCAACTTCACTGGTCTTTTCCAATGCTGCCGTGATCTGTGGGTACGCCTGCCTGACTCCCTCCCTGATAGCAAATGCATGGGACTGTACATGGCCCCTCTACTGTATTCCACTCTGCAAAGACCGTGCTCTTGTTTTGTTTTACAAATGCAAGGGGTTGGGCACCCCTGTATCAAGCAATTCTGTTGCTCACTTCCTGTGTCTGGACCGCTTGGTGGAATTCCCACGGGGTGTCAAGCAGTTTGATCACGCTATCTTGCACTCCTCAGACTATCCAACTAAACCTAAGCTCACGGCCATTGAGTCCATTCCAACTCGTTGCAGCACTATAGGTCAGGGCAGAACCTGTGGGTTTCCACGGTCATACCTTTTTTTTTTTTTTTTACAGGACGAGGAAGCCTTGTCCTTCTCTCCTAGAACAGCTAATGGTTTTGAACTGCTGACCTTGTGGTTAACGATGCAACTCGTGACCACAATGCTACCAGGGCTCCCTCATAGACTACAGGGTAGTGTAAACATAGAAGGCAAAGCATGTGTGTGACTAGCTTTCTCTAGATAGTTTTTTCTTTTTTAATTGCGGTAGTCGGAAACCAAACCCACATTATCGTCAGGGGATGCCTGCAAACGGACAGGCTGAGCATGACCAGGTACAAAGATGAAACATTTTTTTTTCAAATTTGTCTTCACCAATGCTTTCCAATATGCTACCTCATCCCCCTTTATTATCCTGCGTCCAGGCTTCCTGGAGGCTCTCAGTCACAAGAGTTAGAACCTCAGAAACCCACAGGGATGGCACCCCTGGTCGGATCCCATGGCGAGCAGCACCAGCCAGGCTGCCGCAGGGTTTGCGCTGAGGTAGCCCTCTTCCCAGTAGGCTCCAGGGACCAGCTTGCTGCTTCGTGTCTCCTCAACCCTGAAGAGTTAGAGGTTCTGATCCCCAGAGGGGGTGCTGTGCATCAGGATTCACTGCCCCATCACAACAGACTAAACAGGATGGCAGTGTCCTGGCCATGCGAGGGTCCCTTGTACCCCAAGACCCAGCAGCAGGAAGAGTCTCTGACTTTTAAGGACTTGCTGTGACTGGGCAGTCACTTCACCCCTGAGCCGAGAAGGGGTGCGAGCTGAGTGTGGCGGAAGGAGCCATCCCAAGAACCCGCTGCAGGAGGTCGCTGTGGCGCACCCCCAGATGTTCCTTTTCTAGGCTCACCCGCAGGAGCCATAGAGGAACTGCTCCCCAAACACGCACACAGTGATGGACCCGAGTAGCACAGTGCAGGCCTGGGCCAGTCAGGCTGCCATGCTGCTTCCATCTCCCTGAGAGGAAGCCCATCAAGGGGGGCTGCGTTGTCCGACCGAGTGGCACCGCTGTGGGGGCTCTTCCTCTGCCCTCTGCGTCACCCTGTCACATTCCCAGCTCTGCTGGCTTCTTCTCAGACTGAAACACTCGGTTTGCCATCAGAAAGAACCCCTCGTTTCTCCTCCCTTGTGGGAGGGTTGTCGTGAGGTGTCTTCTAGTTGACTTGGACTCTCAGTGGCCGCCCGGTCCTGCACCATCTTACAACCGCTCTCTGTCTGAGCACAGCGTGGCAGACAGGGGGCCAGTCCGTCTCCTGCAAAGCCTTCGCCCTTTCTCCTGACCTGCTTCTCTCCCGGCATGATGCCCTTCTCCAGGATCATCGCAAAGTCCCCTGTCGCATAATCTCCCCAGCCTCACGTCTGAGGATACTCCTGGCTGCATTTAAGACCGATTAGTTTATTCCTCACCGACTCCGTAACAGAAATACATCAGCTTCCCTGCTCAGTGTCCAGCGCTCATGTGAACAGGGAGGGGGCAGAAGGGAGCCAGAGCATGCTCCCTTTAATGACCCCTTTTGAGGCCTTTTATCTCAGGGGCAGTGGTTTGAGACCAGAGACAATGCGGGCCCTTAGCAACTCTTGCCCTGAGGTGACTGGTGCCCTGGTGGCTCAGTGGTGAAAGCACTCGGCTGCTAACCCAAAGGTTTGTGCTTCCAAGGCCCCATTGGCTCCTCAGGAGAACCATGAGACGGCCTGTTTCTGTACAGATGTACAGTCTCTGAAAACCTAAGGTGCGGCTCTACCCTGTCCTATTGCATTGCTCAACAGCAGTGGGCTTGATCGAGGTTTGGGTTTGGCTTTGGATTTAGGCTACAGTCGGGTGGAAACGGGCAAACCCCATGAAACGCCCTGTTATACACCACATTCTGCTCAGTCATGAATCCTCAATGGCTCTGTGGATGAAGCACTAGCCTGCTTGCACTGCAAGGTCGAGCCTTCAAACCCACCAGCCTCTCCGCAGAAGGAAGAGGCAGTGGTCTGCTCCTGTCAAGGCTGACAGTCTCCATCAGGTTGTCCTACCGCCACCGCCACCACCACCGCCGGGTCCTAGCAGCTCAAGCGGGGGAGCAGAGCGGCAGCAGGCAGGCAACCCAGTTTCCAGAAAGCACAAGGTGTCCCAGTGCCCCGGAGTCCACAGGCATCCGGCAAGCGCCCTCCCCACAGCCAAGATGCCCCAAAGGAAGGCCAGTTTGACCTAAGGGGCAGTGAAGGCGAGGCGCCCAAGAGGAGATGGGTGAGGTTGTCAGCCAAACCTGCACCTGCCAATGTTGGAGAGGACCCAGAAAAGGCAGCAGGAGAGGATACATCTTCAGACAAAAAAGTGCAGGGAAAGGGGGAAAGGGGAGCAGAGATTAAAAACAGTTTGCAGACCAAGAACTAGAGAAGATTCACCTGCCGAAGATGGAGAGACCAGACGCGAGGAGAGTCCAGCCTCTGATGAAGCAGGAGACAAAGAAGCCAAGTCTGGTTCAGGTTCATCAACCACGTCCTATCAGCAGGCCCTGTACAATACGGAGGAATATTTTTATCAACTATTTTATAAATGTGACTATTTTTAGTGACTCTAGAAACACGTTTAAGAAGGAGGAAATCCCACCTCATCCCATTAATTTTTAAAGTGTAAATGCTTTCTTTTTAAAGATGTGAAATCATTTACTGGTTGGTAGGTTGCT